GAGGAGGGCCGGGCGGGGAGGGGAGGCTGGAGGAGGTGGAGGCTGGAGGAGGGCCGGGCGGGGAGGGGAGGCTGGAGGAGGTGGAGGCTGGAGGAGGGCCGGGCGGGGAGGGGAGGCTGTAGGGCACCCCACGTGCACGCAGCATGCACTGCGCTCTTCCCTGCCTGCGTGGGCCTGCGGTCAGGGCCTGGGCGGAGTGGAGAGACGTGCCAGGAAGCCCGGGTGGGCGCAGGTGCGGGCCGGGGCCAGGGGTCTGCGGCAGGCTCGGAAGAGGCGGGTCCATGGTTTTAGGGGTTGCACTGGCTGGGCAGGTGCCTGGCCCAGTCCCGAGAGCCAATCTGTGAAAGGCAGGGGCGGCAGCAGGCTCTGAGCGCAGCCTGCCTCTCCCACCCAGGTCTCCAGAGCCGAGCAAGACGCTGGTCCTCGGTGGTGGCGAGGACAGCATCGAGCCTGTGTCCCCGCCAGAGGGCGTGGCTGAGTCAGGGCACCCCCGGAGCTCCATTTACCCACTGCTGTACCGGGACGGGGAGCAGGGGGAGCCCAGGTACCCTCGGGGCTCGGCCGGGGTGGGGCAGCTCCCGTCCCTGGGGAGCGGGTGGTGGGCGCCGTCCACTCAGCGCTCTGGGGTCTCACGCCCCCAGCAGGACGGGCACCAGCCAGCCGCCCGCCTTCTTCAGCAAGCTGACTGAGAGCAACTCAGCCATGGTCAAGTCCAAGAAGCAAGAGATCAACAAGAAGCTGCACACCCACAACCGGAACGAGCCGGAGTACAGTGAGAGCCGGGGGGTGAGAGCCAGGCCCCACCCGGAGGGGGGGGCCCCCCCGGGGGGGGGGGGGGGGGGGGGGTGTGCGGGGGGGGGTTGGAGGATGGTTCAGCCGGGTGGGCTGGAGGGAGGGTGGACAGATGGAGAGGAGGGATAGACCGTGGGTGCGAGAGGCAGGTGGCTGGGTGACAGGTGCACATGGAAGAGTGGGCGGGGAGCTGGTGAGTCAGAGCAGGGGGGGTGGCACAGAGGTGGAGCTGGCCCCGCCGCTGGCCGGGAAGCTGAACCCTTTCCCGGGTTGTGTGGCTCCGCCGGATCCTGAGAGGTCCCTTCCCCCACGAGCTGCACCTCGCAGGGACAGGCTGGGGTCTCCCCCTGGCCCGCCCTACTCAGCGCTGCGTTTCCCACGGCTGGAACGGCGCCTGGCACCCCGTGGCGTCACAGGAAAGTGGATCGCTTGCGCTGAGTGAAGCAGGAGGGACCGCCGCCCAGTGAGCCACGCAGAGCGGCCAGGGCCTCACCGGCTGGGGCCACCGCAGGCCTGCGCCGGGGCGGGGAGCGCAGGCTGCAGGTGGGGCTGCCGGAAAGGGCCGGCTAACACGGTTCTCTTCTCCCAGGTCCACTTCCACCTCCTCGCCTGTGCGCCCGGCCGCCACCTTCCCCCCTGCTACCCACTGCCCTCTGGGGAGCGCCCTGGACGGGGTCTACCCCACCCTCATGGAGCCCGTCTTGATATCCAAGGATGCCCCTCGGGTGGCGCGGCCGGAGCGGCCACGCGCAGACACTGGCCACGCCTTCCTCCCCAAGCCCCCCGCCCGGGAGCCCGCCGCCTCCCCCAAGAGCTCCGAGCCCCGGCCCCTAGCCATCACCCGCACCCCAGCGAAGAGCCTCGCAGCCCACCACGCCAGCCCGGACCCTCCAGCGCCCGCCTCGGCCGCAGAGACCCACCGGGAAAAGATTCAAAGTAAACCCTTTTCCATCCAGGAACTGGAGCTCCGTTCTCTGGGTAAGACCACCCTGACAGCGGCCACCTTCATAGACGCTATAATCACGCGTCAAATTGCCCACGATAAGGGGCCGCGCGACGGAGGTTCGCTGGCTGAGGACCCCCCTCTGGATGGTAAGACTCCCGGCGCCGCCCGCCCGGCGGGGGCCTAACGATCTTTTCAGATCCTTGCTTTTTATTTTCCCCCATTTTTTCCTTTTAGTTTTTGTTGTTGGTATTTTGTTTTGAATCCGTCTTCGTCGATTTGCAAGCGACCAGGCTCATCACCTGCTCATTGTTCTATCGTTTTGTTTTTGAATTTTCGCTTTTTTTCCTTTAATGAATGGATCTGTGATTCGGACTCCGACCACGCCTCCCATCACCCCCGCGTGCCTTGGTTTGGGGAGCGGGTGGGTGTGAGCAGTGGCTCCCTGCTGCCCAGGGAGGGCGGGGCCCCACCGCAGCAAGGAGGCCAGGGACCGGCCTCTGCCTCCACCTGCCCGTCCCGCAGAGAGGGCACGTCCACACCCACTGCCGGCTCCACTGTGCCGGCCGGACGGGAGGACACGGGACCCCAGTTCCCCTCGTTGCTGGCTACCCTGTGCGCCTGCCTCACACTGGGGCTGGCACGGGAAGTCTGCCTCCACCCCTATCTGTGTGCCAGTCTGCGTGGTGCCCTCCCCCTCCGCCCTCTGCCTCTCCCCGCTTCATGCCTACTCTCCTCTCTTTTCTCCCTCTCCCTCCCCTGCCCCATTCTCTTTCACCCTCCTCTTGTTCACTGTCCCTGGGGTGTCCAGTACAGGGCCCCCCCCATCCCAGGGCACAGCCAGCGGTGGGCGGGGTCGGGAGGGTGTCCCTGCCTTTTGGACCCGGCCGCCCCTGACCCCAGCCTGCCCGTCCAGGTTACCACGGTGGCAGCTACAGCCCCGACGGAGTGGAGCCGGCCAGCCCCGTGAGCTCCCCAAGCCTGACCCACGACAAGGGGGTGCCCCGACACCCAGAGGAGCTTGACAGGGGCCACTTGGAGGGGGAGCTGCGGCACAGGCAGCCAGGTGGGGCCAGCCATGCTGCAAGGGCAGGCGCTGTGGCAGCCAGGGGGGCCACGCTGCGTGGGCAGGTGCTGCGGCAGCCAGGGGGGCCACGCTGTGTGGGCAGGTGCTGCGGCACAGGCAGCCAGGGGGGGCCCACGC